TGGTTTATTATGTCAGTTGGAATTGTAAGTACAAAGTGATGATATGAATGGAATATATTTTTTGGATTACTATATCTCTTATGTCATTACTATTTTTCATTGTTGTCATTGCTGTGAAATGAATGGAAGATTATGTCAGTTTGATTACTATCTGTCTTCACTGTAATGACTGTATTCAATGCTGCAATTTTTAAATGTTGGTCCAAACCATCTATCTGCTGATACACTTTCTGGTTTTTGTCAACAATGGTATGTTTGTTCTGTTTGTTTTGTCCATTTACGGGTCATGTGTTGCTTAACTGCACTTATCATCCATCTTCTTTTTAAGTTCCCTTATAAGTCCTCAACATTATTTATCGAGGACCTATTTAGTCCTTGGTTTTTAACAAAGGGGACCAATATGGTCCCTAACAATTTTATCGGGGTCCTTTTTAGTCCCTTCTAAAGTTCGATTAACACCAGTGCCACCATCTGCTATTAACAAACCAGCAATGTCATTTCCCCTTGTACATGTTGATATTAGTTATGCCTAACACAATAAACTTCTTCATAATTCACACCATCACATTTTTAGTTTAGTCTTTATACATTGTTTCCATTCAAATCTCAACAGCAGCAAATCTCAACAGAACCACATTTTTTATACAATCAAAGTTTGCATAATTCATTACACCAGCAAATCTTTATTCAATCAACTTCTGCATAATTCATAATATAAAATATACATAGTACTTGCAAATCTTCCATTCAAGTCTTTATACAATCAACTTCTGCATAATTCATTACACCAGCAAATCTCAACAGAACCACATTTTTTATTTATTTCACTCCAGCCTACTTGCAAGATATATACATATTAGAAACACAACAATAATGGATCCTGCAAACACCCTAGCACACCTACACACTTGCATCATTTCCTTCTCAACCCTTTCAAAGTTTGCTTGCATCTTCATTGATATGTCTTCAATCTTTATACAGTGCTCATTAATCTTGTTTTTGTGGTCATTCACTTCCAGCTGCAGTTCCTCATTGAGCTTCATGTCCAAAAAGTTCAACTTGAACTCCATTTCAGCTAAATTCAACTCTAGCTTGATAATTGTCCAATCTTCCAGCTCCATGGTATTAGATGTAGCATCATCCACCATGTAAAAAGGTTACAGTGTGGCTTCTTTTCCTAAACCAAATTCAACTATACAGTTAATAACATTGACATTACAAAAATAATGCATGAAAAAATCAACCTCACCTTGAAGTTGGGGCACCCAAAAAATGATCTATTAGGGTTTCTAGGTGTCTTGGAGGTGTAAACAACACTGTGCCTCCCACATTTACACAATGGAGCAGCTCTCCTTCTTCCACTTCTGGACCCAAATGAACTACTTGAGATCCCCCTTCTAGAAGAGATATTCATGGCATAAAAACTAAGAACAACCCTAAATCGTACAGTATAAACCCACCTTCACTAAACCGTCAATCAATTCTCCCCAAATTCATGGGTTCAATCTTCGATTCAATGCCATGCTTTTTGGTTTAAGATTGAACCCTAACAAACAAACGACGACGTTCCTTGGATGAAAGAGAACAGGTCTGTCCAAGTTGTATGAGACTCTCAAAACGATGTCGTTCCTCAACCTATGTGGCTTTCAGCATGTCACTTAACGTTACACATCATCACTGTCATTGACACCGTTAGTTTTGGATTGACAGAAGGACTAACGTGGGTCCTGTTTCACATTGTTGGGGACTATTTAACGAGTTTATTTTTGTGAGGGACTAATTTGGGCACCGAGTTTTTTGTCAGGGATCAATTTGGGTCTTTACTTTTATATTTACTTTTTTTTTTTCTCGGTAAACAACTTTATATTTACTTTATACCAACAAGGTTTTGAGTATCTACGGAAACCAAATCTTGCAAAAGATGTAGAAAGTAGATATAATTAGTACATATAAATTTATAGGAAACATATGAATATTTCCATTCACTCAAACACATACCTTATAGATAGAAGATGCAACTATAAGTTATTAAAGCAAAAAGGTCCATTGGAAAAGTTATCAAGACTAAAGCCATCCTTGTCTTCTTATGGTAGTCTTACGTTGCTTTGATACATTCAATTCAAACCTTTTAAATATAGATTTAAAGTACTTCATTAGTTTTTCACCAAAAAAAAGTACTTCACTAGTTTCAAATTAAGGGAATACGTTATAAGTAATAATTGTGAGGATCTAATTATTCGGTGTAAGAGTTTCAAATTACGGGAATATATATGTTATATGTAAGTAATAATCTTGAGGATCTTATTTGGTGTAATAACTTTTCGATTATGTTGTAATATATAGTAATTGATTATGGTAATTTAAATAAATATGAATAAATTCTTAAAGGTCAAATATGAATTGGTGACTTTAATTGATTCTTGTAACTTAAATAATACAAAATTTCGATAGAAATAGCATATCAAAAAGCTGAACAAATATTGGTAATGCGTAGTGTCATTGAAGTTATCAAGCATGTTTTATATAATATTAAAAATTAAAATTTTAAAATATGTTCTGACAAATATATTCAAGCATAATAAAATAAATGAAATATGAAATTGTGGTTTGGTGATTTAACTAAATAAAACATTACTGTCAAAACAATTTATTAATCTTTCAAATAATAATCATTATTTATTTATTCAACCTTTGCATCATCTCCTTTGTAAGCATATTAAATGTATGAAAATATTTTATGAAGTTTTCGTTACAAATGTGTTACTTTTATCCTTAATTTGTATGTATAAAAAATGAATCCGTTTTTGTTTTGGTCATCTTTTCATTTTTTTAAATTTTATTAGTAAAGTAAAATTATTGCACCATGAAACATAAACTTTACCGTTTCTTATTTATTAAAATTGTATTTGAATTTTTTTCTTTATTTATTGTAATAAATATTTAATACCATTAAAATAAAAAACACATTGAATATGCTTCACCTGTAATTAAATGCTGCTTAATTTAATATTTAACAGCTCAGGGAGCCTTTTGAAAAGTACAATATGACTATTTTTTATGAATATATTAATTTTTAAACTTTTAAATATATTTTTCATTAATTATTAAATGTATTTATTATGGTCAAGTTCAAAAGTTGACTCTTATGAATCCGTTTTTGTTTTGGTCATCTTTTCACTTTTTTAAATTTTATTAGTAAAGTAAAATTATTGCACCATGAAACATAAACTTTACCGTTTCTTATTTATTAAATTTGTATTTGAATTTTTTTCTTTATTTATTGTAATAAATATTTAATACCATTAAAATAAAAAATACATTGAATCTGCTTCACCTGTAATTAAATTATGCTTAATTTAATATTTAATAGCTCAGGGAGCCTTTTGAAAAGTACAATATGACTATTTTTTATGAATATATTAATTTTTAAACTTTGAAATATATTTGCATTAATTATTAAATGTATTTATTATGGTCAAGTTCAAAAGTTGACTCTTATGAATCCGTTTTTTGTTTTGGTCATCTTTTCATTTTTTTAAATTTTATTAGTAAAGTAAAATTATTGCACCATGAAACATAAACTTTACCGTTTCTTATTTATTAAAATTGTATTTGAATTTTTTTCTTTATTTATTGTAATAAATATTTAATACCATTAAAATAAAAAAAAAACATTGAATATGCTTCACCTGTAATTAAATGCTGCTTAATTTAATATTTAACAGCTCAGGGAGCCTTTTGAAAAGTACAATATGACTATTTTTTTATGAATATATTAATTTTTAAAATTTTAAATATATTTGCATTAATTATTAAATGTATTTATTATGGTCAAGTTCACAAGTTGACTCTTATCTAGATGAGTAAACCTTTCAAACAAAAGAGAACTTATTATCTGTACAAATACAGAAAAATTATCTGCATTTATTCTCAAAATGACGTTATTTTGGAATTGAAATATTAAAAAATTATAATTATAAAGATTATAATAACTCTGAAATAAATTAAAATTACAAAACACCATAATTTCTGCCCCAAAACAATGTCGTATTGGATTTATTACAGATAACTTATCTGCAGTCGTAACTGTAGAAAAAATGAATCCATGATTAAAATATGGGTTTTATAATTCTCATGTTGAAGAAGAATTGAAATCTCATGTTGTAGAGATAAAAAGCATGTGGGACCCATGTGTTAGAAAAAATTATATATAGGATCCATGTCAGCACGGAAATCGAAGGGTGTGTAGGAAAATTATAATTCTCATCTTAAATGAGAATTATAAAACCCTTAAAATATTAAACTTGTAGATTTGAACATAATAAATGCATTAAAGAATATCTTATGAAAATATCCTGTATGCATCTATGCACAATATTGGGAACTATAAAAACTATTCTAATACTTGAATACACCAAACCAAGCTAGGAAGAAAGGAAGGAGAAACAAAGGCAACGACATAATGATTTATTTCTCTGTTAGATCTTGTTTGATCTCTTTTTTTGTGCTTGTATTCCTTTTATTTGTTGGGTCATCCAATAAAGTTGTGGAAGTGAATGCCATTTGCAAACAAGCAAAAAACCCTTCATTTTGTTTAAGTCTTTTAAACTCAAAGCCTGGTGGAGCAACTCATGCAACTCTCATTGACCTTGCTCAGTATACCATTGGTGTACTTCGTGCCAATGTCACCATCACAATTAAATATATCAATTTGCTGATTGCACATAGTGGTACTGATCGTAAGGCAATAAACCATTACAAATCATGTTTAACACATTTCAGTTACAATGAGGGCGCTCTCGGTGATGTTGAAAACACTCAAAAATGTTTAAGGTCAGGAGATTACAATGGCGTGAATGTGGCTGCAAGTGCTGTGATGACAGATGTTGAAGATTGTATTTCGGGGGAGTCACCATCTAATCCTTCTTATCACGATCCGTCGATGCTCCCTAAATATGCTGATGTTGTCAAGCAGATTGCTCAAATAATTCTTATTTTGTCAAATTTTCTAATTCGTAATTAGTTAATTTTTAGTGCTTGTATGTTTGAAGCTAGTGTTTGGGTAACCTTGTAATAAATGAAATAATTACTTCTTTTCATTTGATAATAAGTCTTTAACTCTATTGTGGACTCCACTTATTTAAAGAGTTTTTTATTTGGTAAGTAACTTTATAACCGACTATGCTATTTTTCTTCTCATTTCTTATAGTGTTATAATTTCATTGATTTGAAAAAAGTGGATGGAATTACTCAGTATGTTTTAAAATGCTAGTAGCTAGTACCTAATTTTTCACATGGATTCGCTTTTCTGCAGTTACTGCAGATAAGTTTATCTGCAGTAAACTCAATACGATGTCGTTTTGGGTCAAAAATCATGGTGTTTTGTAATTTTAATTTATTTCAGGGTTATTATAGTCTTTATAATTATAATTTTCTAAACTTTCAATCCCAAAACGACATCATTTTGAAAGTAAATACAGATAACTTATCTGCATTAACTGCAGAAATATTTTTCTGTTTTCACATATGCCAATGGTTAATAATAACAAAATCAACAATTAATACCATCAAGGATCATTGATTGAGAAATTTTGACATGATAATGTGAAATTAACACATCGGAGGATGCATCTCAATTTCCTTTAAACTTGGATTTTTTCCATAGTTCTCAACAGTTAGTACCATATGTAATTATATTAAAATACATAAACAAAAATTAATTTGTTTCTTTATCTTAATATCATTTAGGTGATATTTAATACATAATTGCTTCTAATTAAGTGTTACATGTTGGAAAACAATGAGAAGTGACTTATCGTATAAGCTTGTTAGGGAAAAAATCGATTGAGATGGTGACAAGAAACTTGAAGTTATAAACCTTGTTTTGTATAAGGGATAAGATCCTTTGACAATAGATATAAATTAAAACACTTACTTATGGTGTAATAATTTTCAAAAATGAGTTCTAAAAACTTTGTTCAAACATAATAAAAAAATTAAAATCGATAATTATTATTTGGTGATTTAACTAGACAAAATATTGCTGTCAAAATAATTTAGTAACCTTCTAAATAAGAGGAGGGTTATAATATAGTAAACTTTTTTTTTTTTTTTTTTTTTTTACAAACTAGCTATACTATGTCTTACTGTTAAGACTTCACTCAAAAGTATCTTACCGGTAAGACATAGTATAATTTGTAAACAAAAAAGTTTGTAAATATAACATTTTCCTCTAAATAATAATTATTAATTGTTTAGTCAACCTTTCCATCATGTCTATGTAAGCACATTAAATTAATATTTTACGAAGATATTTTAAAATTTGGAAATGTGTTTGTTATTTGAAACTTGAAGTTATAAACCTTGTTTTATATAATATATTAGACACTGGATTGAAATTAAAACACTTATTTACGGTGTAATAATTTTCAAAACTTTGTTCAAACATAATAAAAAAAATTAAAATCGATAATTATTATTTGGTGATTTAACTAGACATAATATTGCTGTCAAAATAATTTAGTAACCTTCTAAATAAGAGCTGGGTTATAAAGTAAATTTTTTTTTTTTTTTTTACAAATTAGCTATACTATGTCTTACTGTTAAGACTTCACTCAAAAGTATCTTACCGGTAAGACATAGTATAATTTGTAAACAAAAAAATTTGTAAATATAACCTTTTCCTCTAATTAATAATTATTAATTGTTTAGTCAACCTTTCCATCATATCTATGTAAGCACATTAAATTAATATTTTATGAAGATATTTTAAAATTTGGAAATGTGTTTGTTATTTGAAACTTGAAGTTATAAACCTTGTTTTATATAATATATTAGACAATAGATTGAAATTAAAACACTTATTTATGGTGTAATAATTTTCAAAAATGAGTTCTAAAAACTTTGTTCAAACATAATAAAAAAAATTAAAATCGATAATTATTATTTGGAGATTTAACTAGACAAAATATTGCTGTCAAAATAATTTAGTAACCTTCTAAATAAGAGGAGGGTTATAATATAGTAAACTTTTTTTTTTTTTTTTTACAAATTAGCTATATTATGTCTTACTGTTGAAACTTCACTCAAAAGTATCTTACCGGTAAGACATAGTATAATTTGTAAACAAATTTTTTTTGTAAATATAACCTTTTCCTCTAACTAATAATTATTAATTGTTTAGTCAACCTTTCCATCATATCTATGTAGGCACATTAAATTAGTATTTTATGAAGATATTTTAAAATTTGGAAATGTGTTTGTTATTTGAAACTTGAAGTTATAAACCTTGTTTTATATAATATATTAGACAATAGATTGAAATTAAAACACTTATTTATGGTGTAATAATTTTCAAAAATGAGTTCTAAAAACTTTGTTCAAACATAATAAAAAAAATTAAAATCGATAATTATTATTTGGTGATTTAACTAGACAAAATATTGCTGTCAAAATAATTTAGTAACCTTCTAAATAAGAGGAGGGTTATAATATAGTAAACTTTTTTTTTTCAACAAACTAGTTATACTATGTCTTACTGTTAAGACTTCACTCAAAAGTATCTTACCGATAAGACATAGTATAATTTGTAAGCAAAAAAGTTTATAAATATAACCTTTCCCTATAATTAATAATTATTAATTGTTTAGTCAACATGTCCCTCGTATCTATGTGAGCACGTTAAATTAATATTTTATGAAAATATTTTAAAATTTGGAAATGTGTTTGTTATTTGAAACTTGAAAGTTATAAACCTTGTTTTATATAATATATTAGACAATAGATTGAAATTAAAACAATTATTTTTGAAGCAATAATTTTCAAAAATGAGTTCTAAATTTTTTTTTTAAAGATAATAAAAAAATTAAAATCGATAATTATTATTTGGTGATTTAACTAGAAAAAATACTACTGTCAAAATAATTTAGTAACCTTCTAAATAATGGGAGGGTTATAATATAGTAAACTTTTTTTTTTTTGAGTAAATACCGTTTTTGGTTCTCAGCAAATTTCTCGATGCCTGCTTTAGTCCCTAGGAAATAAAAAGGCCCACCGTGGTCTCTAAGAAATTCAAAATGGACCCATTTTAGTCCTTTTAGGGACTAATATGGGTCTTTTTCAAATTTGAGAGGGACCACGATTTTAACTAAATGAGTCCATTTTAAATTTCTTAGGGACCACAATGGGCCTTTTTATTTGCTAGGGACTAAAACGGGTATCGTGAAATTTGCAGGATATTTACTCTTTTTGTTTCAACAAACTAGCTATACTATGTCTTACTGTTAAGACTTCACTCAAAAGTATCTTACTAGTATGGCATAGTATAGTTTGTAAACAAATTTTTTTTTAAATATAACTTTTCCCCGTAAATAATAATTGTTAATTGTTTAGTCAACCTTTCCATCATATCTATGTAAGCACATTAAATTAATATTTTATGAAAATATTTTAAAATTTGGAAATGTGTTTGTTATTTGAAACTTGAAGTAATAAACCTTGTTTTATATAATATATTAGACAATAGATTGAAATTAGAACACTTATTTATGGTGTAATAATTTTCAAAAATGAGTTTCTAAAAACTTTGTTCAAACATAATAAAAAAAAATTAAAATCGATACTTATTATTTGGTGATTTAACTAGACAAAATATTGCTATCAAAATAATTTAGTAACCTTCTAAATAAGCGGAGGGTTATAATATAGTAAACTTTTTTTTTTTTTTAACAAACTAGTTTAAGACTTCACTTAAAAGCTCTGAAACACGGACTCACAATTTTTTTGTGAATTGTGTGCGACACGCGATCAATATTTGAGAACACGTGGTCAGCTCTCCGACACGCTTCGACACGTTTTTTCGACACGTGGTCAACGCTCGGACACGTTTTTTTTTAGTTTTAATTTTATTTTATTAACTAAAAATAAAAAAAAATCATTTATAAATCAATTTTTTTCTGTTATGAAATTTGACATGAAAAATTAACAAGGTACGAAAAATTATTTTTGTTTATATTTACATTATGAAATTTGAATATTTGATTGGTTATATGACTTATTATGGACTGTTATATCTATTAAATATAAATTATATTATATTCATTAAAAATATTATTTAATATCAAAATGTGTCCTAACGTGTCAAAATATGCCATTTTTTAGAGTTAACGTGTAGGCGTGTCGTGTAATGTCCCGTGTCCCGTGTCAGTGTCCGTGCATCAGAGCTGAAAAGTATCTTACCGGTAAGACATAATATAATTTGTAAACATAAAAGTTTACAGATATAACCTTTCCCTCTAAATAATAATAATTAATTGTTTAGTTAACATTTCCATCATATCTATGTAAGCACATTAAATTAATATTTTATAAAAAAAAAATTAAATGTGTTATGTGTCTAAATAAAAATAAAAATATTAAAAAATAGAATAACAACAAAATAATAGAAGAAAAATAAGATCAAATATATTAAAAATCACAACAGTGACAAAAAATTTCTATATATATATATATATATATATATATATATATATTGGAGACAAAAAAAAGAAAAATTTATGATAAAAATAAAATAAAAAAGATATGGAATTTCTAATACATTTTCTTTTATTTTATTTTTTTATTTTTTTTGTTCTTGGTTTGTTTATTCTTTTTATTTATACAAGTTTGGTCTTTTTTATATCTCCATTTTATTCTTTTTTTTTAATTTATTATATATATATAACAAGCAGAGGAGAGCTCGACTTTACATCCCTTTCACGGTGGAAATGTTCCACTTACAAGAATGTTCAAAGCAAAAGAAAAAAAATGGTGGATGAAATTTTTTGTAAATGGAAAGATGAGGGGCGAACTCTTCCAACTCATCACCACTGAAGCAAATGCAATTGTGGATGGTGCTTCCTTTGTTGGAACTTGGAAGCATTTGAAACACGGGCTATGAATCCGTTCAAAAACTAATGAATCTTGGGCTTCAACTCAAATTTTTTTGGCCCATCTTCTTCTCCTTCCGTATTGTAATTTTTTTTT